AAAAAAAAAAAAAAAAAAAATCACATGGCTGGCTGGGCACAGTAGCTCATGCCTGCAATCCTAGCATTTTGGGAGGCTGAGGAAGCATGATCACTTAAGCCCAGGAGCTCGAAACCAGCTTGGGCAACATAATGAGACTGTGTCTCCATAAAACAAGACAAAAAAATCAGCTGGGCATGGTGCTATATACCTGTAGTCCAAGCTACTTGGGTGGCTGAGGCAGGAGGATTAGTGGAGTTCAGTGCTGCAGGGGACTATGATCACACCACTGCACTCTATCTAGGGACAGAGCAAGACCCTGTCTCAAAAAAAGAAAATCACATGGCTAAAAAGAAATACATTCATGTCAACAGATAACAATAAGTAACAAAATATATTAAGGCCAGGCACAGTGGCTCACACCAATAATCCCAGCACTTTTGGAGGCTGTGGTGGGAGGATCACTTGAGCCCAGGAGTTTGAGACCAGTGTGGGCAATATTGTGAGACCCCGACTCTACAAAAAAATTTTAAAAATTAGCTGGGCACAGTGGCATGCACCTGTAGTCCTAGCTACTCTGGAGGCTAAGATGGGAAGATATCTTAAGCCCAGGAGTTCGAGGTTGCAGTGAGCTGTGATCATACCACTGTACTCCAGCCTGGAGGGGGGTGGGGTGGGGAGGCGGGGACCAAAATATATTAAATTTCTTTGTAATAATAAGTCCCACACCACACATATAGTACTGTAATTTTATGAATATGGGTAACCAAAAAGCAAGCCATGAAATAAAGTTGCATTAATCTGGATTAATTCCACATAGTAATTAATTAGTTCAAAGCACAGTACCTATAGACAAATTATCTTAGAAGAAACTACTATATGGAACAACACAATATGTAAAGAAATCCCAACATTATGCTTATGCATGCAATATAACAGAAATATAGGCATATGTCAGTGATACTGTGGGTTTGCTTTCAGACCACTGCAATAAAGTGAATATCACAACAAAGCAAGTCACAAATTTTTTGGATTCCCAGGGGATATAAAAGTTATGTTTACACTATACTATAGTCTATTAAGTGTTCGGTAGCATTACGTCTAAAAATACAATGTACATACCTTAATTAAAAACTACTTTATTGCTAAAAAATGTTAATCAGCTCAGCCGTCAGCAAGTAATAATTTTTTTGCTGGTGGAAGGTCTTGCCTCGATGTTGATGGCTGCTGACTGATGAGGACAGTGGTTGCTGAAGGCTGGGGTAGCTGTGGCAATTTCTTTAAATAAGACAATAAAATTCACTGCACCAACTAACTCTTCCTTTCACAAAAGATTTCTCTGTAGCATGTGATGCTGTTTAATAACATTTTACTTGCAGTTTCTTTCAAAATTGGAGTCAATCCTTTCCAATCCTGCTACTGCTTTATCGAGTAAGTTTATATATAATAATATTCCAAATCCTTTGTTGTCATTTCAACAGTGTTCACAACATCTTCATCAGGAGTTAATTCCATCTCAAGAAATCACTTGCCTTGCTAATCCATAAGAAGCAACTCCTCATGCATTTAATTATCATGAGATTGTGGCAATTCAGTGGCATCTTCAGGCTTCACTTCTAATTCTACTTCTCTTGCTAGTTCTACCACATCTGCAGTTACTTCTTCCACTGAAGTTTTGAACCCCTCAAAGTCATTTTTTCCAAACTCCTGTTCATGTTGATATTTTGACCTCCTCTCATGAATCATGAATGTTCTTAATGGCATCTAGAATAGTGAATCTTTTCCAGAAGGTTTCCAATTGACTTTGCCCAGATCCATCAAAGGAATCACTACCTATGGCAGCTATAGCCTTACAAAATATATTTCTTAAATGATGAGTTTTGAAAGTCAATTACTGCTTGATCCACAGGCTTCAAAATGGATGTTGAGTCAGTAGGCATGAAAACATTAATTTCCTTATACAACTTGGGTGACCAGGTATATTATCAATGAGCAGTAAATCTATTTTTTCATATCTGATGGTTTCTACAGAGATATTTTGAATCTTTTTTTCCTAACAGTAGATCTCAACAGTGGGCATGATTCCGTAAATCATGCTGTAAACAGATGTGCTATGTGCTGTCATCTAGGCTTTGTTGTTCCATTTATAGAGCACAGAGTAGATTTAGCATAATTCTTAAGGGCCCTGGGATATTAGGAATGGTAAATTGAGCATTGGCTTCAACTTGAAGTCACCAGCTGCATTAGCCACTAACAAGAGTGTCAGCTTGTCTTTTGAAGACAGTCACTGACTTCTTTCTAGCTTTAAGAAAGTCCTAGATGGCATCTTCTTCCAATACAAAGCTGTTTCATCTATATTGAAAATTTCTTGTTTAATGTACCCACCTTCATCAATGATCTTAGCTAGATCTTCTGGATGGGTAACTTGCTGCAGCTTTTCCATCAGCACTTGCTGCTTCACCTTGTACTTTTATGTTATAAAAATGGCTTCTTTCCTCAAACCTCATGAATCAACATCTGCTATCTTCAAGCTTTTCTTCTGCACCTTCGTCACCTCTCTCGGCCTTCACAGAATTGAAGAGAGTTAGGCCCTTGCTCTGGGTTAGGCTTTGGCTTAAGGGAATGTTGTAGCTGGTTTGATCTTCCATCCAGACTACTAAAATTTTCTGTATCAGCATATCACTGGAGTAGCACTTTTAATTTCCTTCAAGAACTTTTTCTTTACATTCACAGCTTGGCTTTCCACATGCCTTCCTCACTGAGCTTAATCATTTCCAGATTTTGATTTGAAGTGAGAGACTTGTGACTCTTCCTTTCACTTGAACACTTAGAGGCCATTATAGGGTTATTAATTGGCTAAATTTCAGTATTTCTGTGTCTCAGGGAATAGGGAGGCCCGAGGAGAGGAAGAGAGACGGGGAACTGCCAGTCAGTGGAGCAGTCAGAACACACACAAATTTATCAATTAAGTTTGCCATCTTATTTGGGTGTAGTTGATGGCATCCCAAAAGAATTATAATGGTAACATCAAAGATCACTGATCACAGATCTCTATAACAGATATAATAATAATGAAAAAATTTTTAAATTGTGAGAATTACCAAAATGTGACACGAAGTGAGCACATGCTGTTGTAAAAATGGTGCTGATAGTCTTGCTCAAGGAGGGTTGCCACAAACCTTCAATTTGTAGAAAAATGCAGTATCTGCGAGGCATAATAAAGTAAAGTACAATAAAACAAGGCATGCCTATATGTCATTGAGTATTAGTACACAAGGAAAAGAAAAATTTTAATAAATTCAGATAGTGAAATTAATGATACAGCAGTGC